GAGAGAGAGAGAGAGAGAAAAAAAAAAAGAAGATCGCCCGGTCATACACACGTTTAACGAAACGTAATGCCGCTAGATATGATACATTGACCGCATGATTCTCACCATTGCGAAAGAGAGTGTGTGTCATCCACGCACACGAGCTCGTCGAGTAACTTCATATCTTTAAGATAAATATCGAAAATCAAGATCGCAGTTTCAGTTGTGTTTTTCTCAGAATTGTGAATTACGATTAGATTTGTGGCTTTGAACCTGATTGACTGTATAACTGTAATATATTACACGCAATAAGGTGTTCACTATTAACATGTTTTTTTTTTAATTTCACTCGAGCCCGATCTACTTTGACTGACTACTCGAAGTCGGAATAATCTCTCGATTTTCAAAATCTTCGCCAAATGAATCTCATTCCTTCTGTGACGATAAAGATTAATCTTTTATTCGATAATGCAGATGTTAATTGAGCCACGTCGAATCGTGTCACGAGACGTGTTTTGCCCCTTCTCGCGACAGTAAGTAGTACAAAGTATGACTGACCCGACTGTCCGATTGGTCGGATCACAAAGAAGATTTATTCTGCTAGATAATTCGTGCCAGTTTTTGTAATCCCTGATCAATTCAATTAAATATTTGCAAACTAGATAATATCTATCATTAATATTCCGAAACGCCATGTTCAATTATTTTCTCACATAAAAAACTATCCCTTTATGAAATAATTTTTCTACCCTTTATAGATACATTGTAATCTCGAGCGTATAGTACACATTTATATTATAATATTTAATAAATATAATATTTAATAAAGTTTAATCTTTATTGTTTTAGAAAAAATTGTGGATAAAAACTTGAAATGCATACAACAATAATAATTAACAATGAATAGTGGATATAAATGGCAAAGTTTGATATATCGTTTATAGGTTTACCGACAGAAAGGGTATGATTCCACTGTGTCTTTGCAGAGGGAGTTATAATCTAATTTTTCGTGAATCCGGTTGTTTAATTTCAGCATCGCTTCGATATCTTCACCGCTTTGAGAATTGAAGAAGAACAATCGGTGACGTTCGAACGGCACTTCGCTCGTAAGACGTCGCCTATAAAAGCGGCACCGGGGATGTACAATGAAAGACGAGGGTACATTGCATGAATAGTCGATTAATTTCTTTTATTGCATTCATAATCGCGTATACATGTCTGTTGAAAGTAATCCGACGACGTGATTAGTAGATGAGGAAGAAACATAAGTATACCGGTGCTTGAATACAGTGAGAGTCGCTTAAAAGTAATCGACTTGCGATTCACGTCCTTACACAGTCCGCACAGTCGCGCACTTACACATCCAGTAAATAAATAAATAAATAAATAAATAAATAAGTGAATAAATAAATAAATACATACGTGTACAAACGAAATAGTAGGCATTACAAATGGCGATAAGTAGTAAGGAACGCGGACTCAAAAAAGCACAAAGCGAGTCCGATTAATAATACTAACGTGCCTAAAAATAAATATATACAAAAATCAAACTTACGAATAAATTAAATTCGTCTAGAATTCGAATTAACAATCTTCCGAGAAATAGTCTCGTGTAATTCTCGCGCTATCGATGTATCATCGGTATCAATGTATCGCAATCGATGCGATAATCCATCGGTAGACCGTTAATACGTTCTCCGTTACATAATCCGACGTAAATCCTCATATCATATGTTGTAATATATAAAAAAAAGAAATTAAATAAGAATTATAAACGTACATGGCCGAGCCCGGAATGCAATACATGTCGCCGACATCGCGACGTAAAAACTTTAGATCCAAGATTAACGTTAATCTTGGTCCTTCCACACTCAAAAAAACATGCGAAGTAGACGTAATTCTGACGAATCGTCTGCAAAAATGATTCCCTTAATTCGAAAAAAATACGCCGAAATAAATTCGCAAGATTTTCTCGTGATTGATGATTTCGTTCTGAACACGATCGTAAACTCACTATTCTGCCAACGGACCACGCCTATCCTCGACTTATTTTAAAAAGACAGCTTGATCGGGTTCATGTCTACGTTGTAAGATCCCGCGTTGGATCTAGATCCATTAGTGACGAAGTAAAAATTATACGACACGCTTGAGATTCACGTGAAAGTGAAGGTGAGGTTCAATATTTTTTGAAGAAAAGCGATTCAATTTCTTCTCGCTTCTCAAGACTCAACGAATGAGATTATTAAGGATTATTAAATATGCGTTCTCCAATATTCACTACCGGTACTGAAAATATACACCTCACGTCATTATAGATAATATATATAGCTCATTATATACATAATCTACAATATATATGTATATGATATATATTGTAGAAAATATATTGTTCACGACATTTTCAGTACTGGCATATCGGAATATCGGAACGCGTAGATCTCGCGCGTAGAAAAGACGTGACGCGATCGAGAAAAGGATCGAGCAAAGGATGATTTTGCACTTTCTCACGAAATTACAATCTAAGCGTTTCGCATAATGTGTAAGCATAATAGCCGACCGAGTTGACGGAATCGAGGAAAGCGAGTCAGAGTGATCTTGCGCTTTCCTTCCTGAAACAACCTGTTTTCCTGGAAGAAAATCTAAGCGTCCCGCCGATAATAAAGGCCGATAAAACCAATGCGAGCCGGAATCCGGATCCGGATGCAGTCGAGTCTGCAAAATAAGATCGAAGATCTCCGCCGCCGAGGAGCGGCCGGCGTAAGTCGAGAATACACCTTGCAAATTACACACCGTCACGAATACTAAGACGCATTAACATGTAAAATACTGTTCTCGTTAAGCCTCGAATACTTAAATGAAGAACGCAGTCTGGACGCGATCGTGCCGTTTCTTTCCCTCCAAGAATATCCGACACTTTGCACGATAATTTACCGTACGCTTTCGTTATCTCCCGCTGCTGCCGTATCCAGATCCTTTGCGCGTTAACGCGCGTGACGTTCGTTTCCCCGCCACTCGTCGAGAGTTAATTACTTACTTCTTAAGGCGTAAGTTTATAAAGAAATTGGAAGCTCGGACGGAGGCTAGTCCGTAGTAGTGCATTGTCGACGGATCACGGCTGAGAGATCAATTAAATATTACGCGTGTATAATGTACGTGTAATATGTACGCGTGTATGTGCGTGCGTGCGTGCGTGCGTGCGTGCGTGCGTGCGCGTGCGCGTGCGCGCGCGCGCGCGCGCGCGTGTGTTTTTTTTTAAATTGTTCTACTTTCTCCTTTCTATTTTTCTCTCTTTCTTGCACGCTCCTTCCTCCCCCGTTATTTCTCTTCCGCTTCTCTTTCCTGACGTTCGCTTCGTTCTCGAGCGACACAAGCTTCCGAATTAAATCAACTGGTAGTCCCTTTGTTCCTCCCGCGAATCTTCCTTCTGTAATTAGAATAGGGAAAATGGAATTAGTTCCGATCTTGAGACGACAGATTCGCAATTACGTGGGCGATCCTCGCGAACGTGTTATTGTCGTTAAATCTCGCTGCGAGATTACATGTTCTCTTATATACATGCTAAATGTTACAAGCGCAAAAATGGGGCCGTCCCCCTTTACAAATTTACATATCGCTCCACGTGGCTGGATAAAGAGGAATAAATCGACGAAAAGAAACGAGAAGTGTACAGTGTGCTAATATCACGTTCCGCGTCTTTGCTAAGAGACTTTGCTAATTACGCTCTGCGGTTCATTAGATTTCACGGCACTGCTGCTGGTTCGGTCAATCTTTCCTTGTCGCAAAATTATCGCTCGCGCAAACGCGCATAATAAATGGCCGGTCACGAGGAAGGATACTGTGCAGCAGACAGTGTTTAAAAAACCTTCACGCGTTCTTGAAAAAAATGAAGAATACGAAAAGAAAAAAAAAAGTGACCGATAACCGCGGCTCTCTGTACTTATTATCACGAGTTAACAACCTAAACGACATTTGTAGACGACATTGAACAAGAACATGATAAGCAGATTATGCATAAATTATATCGGGCTTGATCGGGGTTATCTCGCGCTTACCCACGGCAAGGGACGAATCTGATCGGGTTGGTCCGCAGTTGATTCCGCGTCTTGAGCAATGAGCAGCAGGAGATGTTGCAATTTTCGAAAATTGTCCTCCGAGATGGATCTTCGTTTACGGCCTCTGTGAACACGACAGTAAAAACACGACGTCGAGAGACTGACATTCATTTAACACGGGACTTCAATTTTAGAGAAAGAACAATTTTGTCGAAATGTCTAAAAATTCGTCTAGATCTAAAAAAAATTTTGTCGCGCCATCCAAATAGGAGGTGCGATAATGCAGCAGAAATTTTTAACGTTCCAACAACGTCCCGAATATTTCGACAGTCAAAACCAAATTATTTTCAGATCTGTATTTGGTCAAATAATAAATAATCTCTTAGTAATGATAATAATAATAACAATAATAATAATTTCGTAAACATGACAATTTGAATCGTTATCGGCGATGATGATTTTGATGCATTTGAATGACACTTGTATATACAAATTGCTGGAATTTCTGTCAACAGTCGAGTTTTGATTTTACGTAAAGGCGAATTACGCGTCACGTAACCCAGATAAATTCGCGCGGTCATGCTGAACGCTCGTGCCGAAAGGAGAAGAGAGCATACAGATAACGCAATAGTCATGCAATAGTCATGCAATCGCTGAGGATCTGCCAACTAATAATATTCCGAGGCGAGGCTTTATCGCCGGCGTGGCGTGTTACAAGCGAGTTACGCGTAAATTACACGGACTCCGGAGAAGTGTGGCAATATCTGCCGTCTGCATAATTTGTTTATCGAAGCTCAATTAATTGCTTTCCCGATAAGCAATTAATGCCTCGCCGTCGTGATACGCGAAAAAGAGCTCTCGCGTAATAATGGCTAACTGGCGCGAGAGACGCAAATGATGATCGCGGTATTTTCTCTATACTCTCGATGTATTTTTAAATTTCATATCAATTTTTTTCATTGTAATCTCGCTCGCTGTCCGCCACGTGACGAGATCGCCCCGTGATCCGGGACCGATTGCTCGGTGCGAATCGCGCTCGTCCCTCGTCCTCGTTCGAACTTAACTTCCCTTTCTTTTCTCTCTACGCAATTTTGCTGTCAAATTTAAAAATCTCGATAAATCTAGAAAATAATTTTGTTGAGCCATCGAAATTATCAGGATGCTCGAGCGTGAAGGTAATCGAGTGCAAAAGCTTTTCATCTCTCAGCAACCGATTTGAAGTCATCATAGTAGGTCTCGGAGGCCCAATGGAATTGTCTCCGGAATTCTATTTCAAATTTTCCAGCGAAACTGCCCCCGTATGTTTGGGAGTCCGATCACGCGCGCAAAAAGTTTGCCAACTTTGTGTCTCGTTTTCCGGCAAATTTTTTTCCCCCCCCGGTGTGTCGCGCCCCGCGCAACCTTGAACTACTCTCTGTTTAGTTTTCATACATTATTAAATTTTCGTCTCACTCTTGAATAGCTTCCAGCTGTCCGTGTCTACGGCAACAAATCGAAAGTGTGTGCGAAAAAGTCAAGTTTCGAGCGGCGGCTTGTCAATCATCGGGGAGAGACACGCGACCGGGGGCTATTTCGACGTATATTCATCGTTCCCTTGTTAATTAACGCGCGTCTGACATTGGACATTGTTGACATCGCAAATATCGTCAATTAATTTATACCCCGGTAATACGGCGGGAGCGAACGCGTATCGCGACGCTCACAGGGCCGCTTTTCAGAGAACGACGAATGGGGACAACGTCTGAATAGAAATTTATTCACGAAGCATTCAACGAAGAAGTAACCCAGTTAGAGGTTTCATTTAACCGCCGTTACCGCGTCTTCCATCTTCCGTCACGATCGCGATTCGTCTTCCGTTCGTTTTTTCGATCTTTTTCCTCCTTTCGTCGGTTGTCTCTGATATAATTATGTTATTCAGACTCAGGTGACGTCGCATTACAATTTGCATTCGCGTATTCGCAAAAGCACTCCGTTGCCTTTTTAATTTTTTTTTTTTTTTTTTTTGGAAAATAATTCGAGCGCATAAGCAAACATCGATATTACGAAACAAGGGCAAGATTATTAAGCTGCATCAGCCAAAAAGAACTTTATCGTATTGCTTCTCCGCTTCAGCTGGATAAAAGTGTTTCTCCAAGAATATCAAACGCGCTCAAAGCGTTATTCGTTTTTCTATGCATTAATTTTTCAATATCCCAGCTTACGAGGCGAGCTTCTTCTTATATCGTTAGCTTTCTCTCGTTTCTTGTTTCATCCCCCCCTTTTTATGCGGTTCTCCAACTGCCGTACTGTATACAAGTATTATTTAAAGGTTTGAAGAAGAAGCAACAAGTACAGCTGCGGTCGATGAAATCTCTAATAGAAATGGCATTGCATCGACGTGGGAGATATTAAATTTACCGTGCATTAATAGCAAAGATATTCAAGTCAACAGCGGGAGGGAAAAGTTAAATATAAACGTCGCGACATACGTGTGATTTATCAAGAAACTTCAATATCAAAAACACACTTCGCGTGTGGTAAACGACACGCACGCGCTTGGGAGAAAGATGACGGAATTCCCAGAACTGAGAGAGGTATTACACTTATCGTGATATGACTAATGTCTTCGTGATTGTTACTTAATCGAACTTGCAACTTGTTACAGCGCATTGATAAGAACGTCCGTCAGCGGACGGACAATTTTAATTCCGAGACTGTCTTTGTATTTTTAGCTGTCTCAGTGTCGGTCCACAATAGTGGTGATTTAAGCTTTAAGAAATTGACCAATTATAAATCGAATATGAAAAGAATATACTCGATTATGATTAGTCAATTTCTTACCGGCTTAAAGATTAAATACTTATTGTGGACCGACACTTAAGACAAAGTAAAGATAAAGTCTGTAATCGATCGTACTTAAGAACAGATGTAAAAAAATTAATTAATGATGTAATTGTTATCACGTATCTCTCTCGTGACTCGTCATCATTCAATTCTGTTCTTTTCTATAGTGACATAAAAGTGAACAAAGTCAATGAAAGGATTTTAATTTTAAAACTCGATTGGATATTTTATAAAAAAATGTATAGGAGAAAGTTTCATTTTACACCTAGGAATATAGAATATTCAGAGAATTGACAAAATATATGATATTTTTATTCTGATATGATTACATCCTTTCTCGCGACTACGATGTAATCTCATCTATGTTACAAGATCTATGTTGCAATGATAGAAGTTGGAAGCAAATTTCAGCGAACGACTTCAATTTGAAAATTACTAGTACAATCTACAGTTTGCTTTTTAAAATATATTTGACAGAAAGTTCCATGTATAAATAATTATATCTAGAAATATATATCTAGAAATATATTTAGGAAATTAATAAAATGAATATAACTTTTATCTTGATGTGACTAACTTTCTCGCGATTACGATTTAATCTCGTCTACGGTACGAGGAAATCTACATTGCGACGATAAAAGTTGGTAAATTTCAGCGAATGGACGACTTTAATTCGAGAATTTCCCGTCTAGCCTACCCTAGTTGCCCTTTTTAAAATACATTTAATACGAAATCCCATGTGTAAGTAATTAGAAATATGAATTTTTAGAAACATGTAAATTAATAAGATGAATTTTTACGACTACCCTCCTCATGATTATTATTTAATTTTTTCTGCTTTACGAGCGCCACGATAAAAACTGACAAATTTCAGCGAACAATTGCAATCTTAATCAGCAGGCAGCACTTCTTGTTATCTTAAAATAAATTTTAAAATAGAGAGAATAATCGATAAACACAATTATTCTTTCTCAATCAGTGAAATACGTTGGAAAATGAACTTACAAGACAGCTGGGTTCACTTTTCCGAATCCTACGGGAACCACGATGCCCTTCACGTTTTCCAGCGCCAAAAGTGTCTCAAGCTCGGCGAGTCGTTGATCGGAAAGTCGCTTCTGCCGACTGCAACATATCGACGACAAATCGGATTTTACAAAATATTTTCGGAATTATTTACAGAAAACGTCAACTGTGAATGGAGAAAAAGTGCGCGCCGTAAAATTCCTTCTTTAAAATTATCTCACGGAAATCCCAATTCTTGCAGCCGTCGACAATCGATTATAATCGTGATTCGGTTTTAATCTCGATGCAGGCGGAAAAAAAAAGAGTACGTACTCTTCGCTTCAATAATCGCGCTAATCTTACAAGCGTATGCGACACAGATAGAGCGTACGACAAAGCTTTGGCTATGTTCAACAAACACGTTATCATCGCATGCGAAGGTTTCAGAAGAGAACTCGGTCACTTCATCCGGTTGGAGATCGAGGATCCGACGTTATTATTATATTTATTTTATATTGTATTATTTTATATTATTATATTATTTATCCGTATCGCATTCGATACATCCGCAAAAATTATTCGCTAGATTCGTCGCTTGCAATTATTACTCCGTGACAATTTAAAAAAGAATTGTATTATCCTATAAAATCAGATAGAAGTGAGAATCGAATTTTAAATAAATCCAATTTTACAATAAAACACGATATCGTTCGACGAGAATAATTGATGATGTAAAGATTCAATTAATAAGTTCATTTCAAACTCTGTCAATAAAATTTTGCAATAATTGCCTCGCAAAGCGTTATTCCAAATGGCACGACTTTTTGGCTAAAGTAAAAGGAGATTATTCGAAAGCCGCGTAAGATCCCTCTTCAGACAATTTTACAATCCAATTTGATTTTCCTTCGTACCTCAGAAACCAGTCCTGTCTCGGTCTGGCATACGTCGTCTCCGACAGCAGGGCCACGATCAGGATGCACAGAGTCGCCGTGCTCACCGATAGATTCATCTTCGCGCGCACTACAGTCAGTTTGCGGGATAAGCGAGAGCAAAAAAAAGAAAGGTTAATTGCCGACAAATTAATTGGCACGAATCTACGATCAACTGACACCGATTATCACACACTCGTTGTCTCTTCTCTCTTTCGCTTCCTTTTTTTTTTTTTTTTTTTTTTTTTTTTTCCCCCGGGTCTCCGACTCAGTTTAATGCGAATCTCCGCTCAAGTCTCTCTCACTGATATCGAGCCCAAGTCGATCGCGCGTCCGAACCGATTTTCCTTCTTCTCACGTCGGTTTTGCCTCCTGGTGAACTGTAGCTACTCTCGGCCGCATCGAGCATATATACCCGCGTTGCCGCCCTCCCTATCCCCACGCTAGGCGCTACTGCGAGATCGTCCCCACTTCATTTGCACGGATCCACCCTCGCTTTTTACGCAATATAGGACTCAAGGTCCTCTTTTTTTTTTTCTAAATCCGCGAATCCACTTTCTTCCCCCTTTCCCTCACGGCGAAAAATATGTGTAAATATTGTCCGGGCTTATGATACATGTGACATGGCGTAATACCTCATGAAAGTTACACTTTATCTCGTGCCTGGTAGAAGAGTCGTCCCTCCTTCCCTCGATCGTAAAATCGACGATAAAGTAGCGCAGACTTTTTTTTTCAAATATCAGAGTTCAGTCAATTAAAATTAAAAGGAGGAGCGTCGCGGGGAATTAACATTATCGATAAAATAATGATGATAAGCGATTTCGCCAAATCGTCGAAAAAAAATTTTTCAGATTTTCATCATGTCGTCGATGTGAGTTTCTTTCCTGTGTCTCTTTTGCGTAAAATCTGCCAGACTCTGCCTCGCTTGACTCGAAGCAATATCCCGAGTACTTTAAAACTAATTACGATGTCGCGTACTTAAAAACTTTAATTACTTTCTTTGTGTAATACACAAATTAGTTATATTACTCAATTCCACGTTATACCTGAATGTGCACCCACGTCGCTATAGGAGGACAAAGGTCCTGCGCTTCCCAGGATCCGTTAGTTACACACGAGATAAGACAGTCGTCATACTGTTTTCCTATGACAACTTAACATTTTTCCTGACATAAGAGGATGAGTAACGGAAGATTAATTAGCGATGAGGCTATCTCGTAAAAACTGATTCTGCAAAAAATTGGCAATTGAATTTTTCACAACAATGGAAAGAGAAGCGAATGTCTAATGCCGATTTAAATATCAGCATTAGTCATTTTATTCGACTTTTTACTTAATTAATAGTTATTTTCATTTGTTGTTGCTTTCCCTCCGTTTTTAGATTTCGAATTCTACAAAAAGTGACGGATAAACACGAATGCGAAGTTAGCAGTTAGAGTGCTTTATCATCATCGTTCGCATTGTTTTCGAAGCTATCTCTGTTCTATCTTCCACTTTACCTTCCTCGTATTGTTGTAATTAATTTTCTTTATTATACGATGGCTTTCGCATGGAAGAATTATACGAAACGAAGGAACGATGTTAAAACGGTTTTCATTGATTTATTTTAGCATTGATTTATTTTAGCATTAATTTATTCAATTTTAAAAATACTCAAACGCATAACGCATTGCGTCATATTATTATCACTTTTCGCATTACTGTTCAAAGTTCAACCCTAATTTAAAAAGTTTACATTTTACGAAAAAACGCGAGACGATCGATCTTCAGTCCGACAACGAAATACCTACGCGATAGTTGCAGATATTATTCTTACGTGATAAATTTCGCTTGCCTCCTAAAATTCTAATTAAGAAGACGAGCAATTTGTACGTTATTTGTCATTATCCCGAGGTCCGTTCATTATTCGCCGTAACTAAACAAGGATGCTGCGAGAAGGCAAGTCAAATATTTTGTGCATCTGAGTAGCCTCAGGTATGCACGTATTCCCGCTGACGTAAAGGTAAACTACGGAGACGGAGGGAAATACCTATTCGATACTAGGAAACGTGACAGACAGCTCATGACAGTTCATTCGTAATCTCCCGAGATCTATTTGCAGACGCGCGGCTATCAACTTTGGCTACTCCCGATGACTGACATTCTATTTTCAATCTCCACCGCGTTAATATTACGTATTTTTCATATCGCTCGGAGTCTCGCCAGCTGTCTCGATGACACTACGTATTTCGATCATAAATTACGCAATGCGTTTACACATGTGTTACACATGGAAGCGCAATACCGTGACGTCATGGCGCACGTCGTGTGGCTCGACGTGCGAGAGAAAAAAGAAGAAAGTGTCGAAAGGTACGATTAGAAAATAAAGCAGCCCGTATAATAACGCGCCCGCGGTTATGTAACCTCGGGAAGGAATAAGAAAGTGCTGTATAAAAACAGTTGTAGAATACACGGTTGCAATACTCGTTAATTAAAAACGATTCGATTCGGAACGCGCGACTCTGTCGCGAGTCTGTAAGATTTATATCGATCGAACGGACGGTAAGCGCGTCGTCGTGTTATCCCGCGTCAAAAAAGATCACATACTTCGTATATGCGGATTTACTCGGAATCCCTGATTATTTTCGAGACGCAGTACAGCCCGAAGATAGCCGCTTAGACGATTATAGAACGCCCTTTATTATTCCTCTTTCCGAAATTGTCGGTCGGTCGGTCGGTCGATCGGTCGGTCGGTCGCCACGCGTTACTCTATCAATTTATCGCGTTTAAATCGTAAACCAGCGAATGACGCACAAATTGATACTCATTAAGCGCGTTGACGACCGCTTATCGCATATCGTGATATATTTCGCGTTAAGGCTAAGAACCGCCGAATATTCCCCAATCCAAATATTCTTCAATCGTTCAAGTTCAACGATTTACGTCCAGGATTTGCCCATAAATTTATCCTCATCCCGTTAATTAAATGCTTAAAATCGTGACCCCAACGTTTCGTAAGGATCGCTTGGAATTTCCGAACCGTAAGATTTAGCGAGTGTATCAAAAGTTCTCACGGAAAGAACAGTTTTGTTGAGTGGAAACTAAAAATTTGGCCAGATACAGAGTTGAAAATAATTTTGTTGAGTCATCAAAATTATTATACGAGGATGATTAAATTTGATGATAATATTGCAAAATTCTTTCTATTCCAGCAACCAATTTAAACATAAATATTTTGATGGCTCGATAAAGTTATTTTTAGATTTGTATCTGGCCAAATTTTTAGACACTTCAGCAAAATATTTTTTTCGTGTAGGTATTAGGTCCATTGATTTTTAATAGCATTATCGATATATTTCTTATTATAAAGATTCTAGTATTCTAAAGATTCTAATTTCACTTATAACATTTTAACCATGTTTTAAAATGTATCTTTTTATCTTTCATAAATAAAACTGAATTTTTGCGTCTCTCAACTGAAAGAACGATTTTGCTAAAGCATCTAAAAATTTGGTCAGATTTAAAAATATCTTTGTATATTTTTATTAAAACTAACTATAGTAATCTCGCGTGGAGATTCTAAGAAATATCTTTTAAACGAAGTAATATCAATTAATCGAAGATTTATTTTTCTATTTAAAAGTTTGAATTAAAAGAATCCAATTAACAAGAAACAGAAGTAATTTTTATTTCTTAACAGAAGAAGAGATAGAAAGAAAAGGGATTTTCTAGCAGTCTATTTAGACAACTCGGAATTATTTATCACCGCTTGAAATCAGTCAATAACATTGCAAAGGGCCAGCGTGTAAAATACCGTTTTATCTTATCCGCTCTCGTCGCTTTTTGCGCGTAAGCAGTAAGCAGTTTATTTTGTCGATGAAACGGAAAGGAATCACGCAGCCACCACCTGGGGTGCACACTTGTACTTTGCCCAAATTCTCATAAACATCTGCAAGATACTGCGGACGAGATAATACTAGCTCTATGACCTAGTTTATCTTGCGTGTTGCAAGTGCAAGTACTGACAAATATTTCGGACGAAAGACTCTCAACGTAAAAAATCTATTTATATATATTTTTTTTCTGTAACAATTATTATCCAATTAATTTTTACTTCGAGATTAGATGTCTCATCCGCACGACGAGACCGCGGTAGATAGATTTCTTTTTTTTTTAAATATATGTAGCATTACTTATCTGCCTTTTTTTTATTTATTTGTTATCCACTCTCGAGACAAATGTGCGGAAAAAAAACGTTATTTATATAAAATGCGATACTAACCGCTAAACTTTTTATCCTCTACCGTCGCGGTTTCATGCAATACTTTTGTGATACTTTTTGATAATGCGGACGTATCGTCTGTTTGTGCACGTACATCGCACGCGCATTTACTCACGTATCGTCACATCGCTCGATCAAGCTTGTACGATGTAAATACCCTCGGGGTATTTCGGTAGCAAAAATTTGTACGATGTTTGAAATTGTTTGGGAAACTTTTCAGATCCTTCGAATAGCTGTGGCAAACGCGAAAATGCGGCGTACCTTATGCGGCGGAATTCGTAGAAACATTTAATAAAAGACGTGAAACATCGTTCCGGCACTCGGGGAGGCGGCCCGTTCGAAGGGTGAACGAGTAGGCGTAACGTGGGAAAGAATTCGAAAGTGTTTTGATATCTTCATATCGACACGTGCGTAATTGTCTCTCACCGACGCGCTGTTTCTTCTCGAGCTTTTCATGCTAATTATTAAATAAATTAACATAATAAATCAATATAATAGATTAACATAAATTAAATAAATTAATAATCCGAATTGCAAAAAAAAAAAATATAATTAGAGCTATATATCATTAGAGTTGTATGTTGTAGGATGTTTTTAAGTATTTTAGGAACTGATCTCTGAAATCATTTTTATAGATAAAAACTTAACTGAAAAGTCTCGTTTTAAAAATACACAATATTAAAGATTTTATAAAACTATTTATTTTTTAAAATAGCTTTATCAAAATAGCTTTTTTAAAATAGCTTTATCAAAATTTATTAAAATAGGATAGTTTTTAAAACGAATCTTTTGAAACTATACGTAAATATGTAAACTTTTCTTCGTAAAATAATTTCAAATATTAACTCTTAAAATATTGAATAATTTTTAAGAAACACTCTGTATATAATTCACATTATGAATAACGTAATGTTAATATTATATAATTTTGACATACGTTCTAAAAAAATATTCCAAAGGACATCTTTTTTGATACAAAAA